GATGATGGCAAAGCATTTTTGCCAATGGTTTATGAGAATTTGGAGACCACATAGACACTACTCCTTTCGAATTACCCACGCATAGCACCGCATTACTTGGGTTTTGCGTCATCACCTATCATAAATTAATGATTGTCAATAAGCAATATCTAAGATACAATATGAACAATCAAAAATAAATGCAATCTTTTATAAAACTCACAGATATTCTGCCCAAATTGGAGTTATAACGAGCAATTAGCTTGCCTATAGAAATATCCAACCAAGCCATGTGACCATCCTTTGATCCACTGGCAAGTAAAAAATGATATGGCAAAAATTCTAATCTCGTTACACCATTCATTCTTTTCAAGCAATGCAATTCTATTCCCTGATTATCATATACATAAACCCAGTCTTTTTGTGCTACTGCAAACATAGTTTCCAGATGTAGCCATGTAACATCATGTACAGATTCCATTACATTTATTTCACAGGCCAGCTTTTTCGTCACCCAGTCGAAAGCTGCTACGTGACCTTGTTTCCCACCCAAGAGCAAGTGTCTGCCATTTCTGGTATATCTAAAGCAGTATGGGCCAAATAGCAAATCTAGTTTGAAACGTTTAGCCGCGCTTGTTATGTCCACATTCTCTGTTATTTGTTTCTGTCGATATTCAGTAGTAACTTCTCCAGGTTCTGCTTCCAAGTAACCATGCTCCTCCGTCAATAATAATTCTGTCCGAGCTGAAGCTTCTATCTGTTCTTCTATAGCTAGCTCTTTCTGCTTTAATTTTTTTCTCAGTATTTTATTTTTTATTGTATCCGTCATTCTATTTAACTCAAGTCCAGGACCTCTAGAATGTTTCATTAATATTTTTTTTTTAACTGGTATCTTCTCTGAGTGTCTTTTACCAATTGGTGTCTTTCCATAAAATTTTTTATCCACTAGAAACGATATAAAAATAATTTTATACAATAAAAATGACAACTAAAATAATAACTAAGAAATAATAAAAATATAAATAATTTATGTTTATTTTAATTGTAATGCAAGATTTTAAATTACATTTTCTAGATTTAAAAATTATTTAAAATAGAAATAATTATGCATATTTATAATATTAAATTATATGTAAATAACTTTTTATAAATTCATTGCATTTATAATTTTCTTATATGTATGTTCTATCCAGTAAACAAGAATGGATTAAAATGAATTAAAATTTTATTTATCCAAATATGTATTTTAAAAAACAAAAAACAAAAACTTTTTTTATTCATTGAATTAAATTAGATTCAGTTGGATTCAATTGAATTGAAAAATCATATTTCCTATTCAGAATTTTGAAGAAGTATACACAAAGTAAAAAGTTTATTATTTTTAGATAGAAATATGCTTTATTCGATTCACATGAATAAAAATACATTCAGATTGAAAAGACCTTATTTTAAAGTTTGTGAATGCATTATTTCTAAAAATTAAATTTAAATCCATTTCAATCCACTTCAATCCATTCTCTTTTTCTTCCTTCCTTTTCTTTAATTGGCACCTGCAGCATCTCGTAGTCGCAATCTGGCCATAAACGAATTGAAACACATATGATTCAAATAAAATCTATAAAAACTTTTAATGTGTGATGAAATGCAATGCGTTTAAAGCCGGACACATTTTTCAAAAATATCCACTTAGATCAAAGCAAACATATATCCCCGACCGAGCGAACTTTCAATCCTTTCTTGTTTACAGGAATATACACGTGAGTTAACCTTATAATCTTATTTATATAATATCAGCGAGAAAAAAAACAAAAAGTCAAACAATAAAAAGATGATCTCAGTGTTCATACCTGGTCTCATTGTGATTTTTTATCGTGATCAAATATTAATTTCTACACTAATTTTATTAGGAATCATACAAGAAATACAATCAGCGATAAAATCCAATTATTACGGAAACCTGAGAGCAGCCATCTGACGTTTTTCGTCAAAATCGTCCGTACACTAGCGCCAGTACATTCATTTTCGAAATTTGGCAACTACGTAATTACGTGATTGGTAAATAGGCTTAGTTCTTTGTGGCTGAACTTTTTGCACCGGTTCATCTTCCTTCCTCTTTTTTCCTCCTGAAGAGAAAAGGAAGAAAGATGAACTGATGCAAAAGTTCAGTCAAAAAGATCAGACCTAATGAATGCATTGATGATAAAATCGTAGTATAATCGTACTCAGTAGCGACATTGAATGTCGGCATCTTTGATGTAAGAGGCTCTGCATAATAAAAGGAATAGAGAACAGAGAAGAGAAAGAATAAGAATTTTAATCTATCAGAAATCATGTATTATGGAATACACAGTTTCTGATAGATTGAAATTCTTATTCTCTGTTTTCTGTTCCCTGTTCTTTTTATTGTGCGCCCTTAATACTCGTATTCAGTCAGGCCTTATATTTAAGACTTCCTTAAATTTATCTTTAGATACCCTATGAATTATTTCATTGGCTGCTGAGCATCTAAAGATAAATTTAAGGAAGCCTTAAGTACAATCTGAATATGGACATAAGTGTTCTTAAGTCATATGATTCATCGTCATGTTGTGAAGTGTACATAGTAGAGTTATGATAAGGCAGGCTCTTAAATTTAAATTTCTATTAATCTTCTAACGTCCGCCATATTCCTAAGCGTACAAACCGATACATGCGCACTAAAAATTGCAGGTCACAAAAAAGTTTACTGTCGCTACTGGGTATGATTGTACTGTGATAAAATCGTGATATCGAATAGTTGTTATTGTTAGGGATTTTAGAAGGTAAAGGAGCAAATTCAGCAAAATCCTCATTAGGAACAAATCTTTCGATTAGTCTGGCAACACTGCTGCGAGACATTCGCGTCATTCGCAGGCTGGTTTACTGACGACTGGGTTCACATTCGTTGTAGGTCGATCACGATTGGAGCATGCGCTGACACATTCCCGTTCAGCTATTCCGGTTCCCTCCTCTCGCGATCTGTGGGGATGATTGTCATTCATGATTAGTCGCAACGTTCTTGACCGCGACGAGGTTTACCTATCGCATTCCCAAGTTTCCACGTACAGTGTTACGTATATGCTTATACCTCATCGAAAACAGTTAAGTGTTTAATCGTGCACGTTTTCCTCGTCACTCGCGTTGTACTCAGCTCCGTTCGGATTGATCGATCGCGGAGTGAAATTCGCCACACGCGAAGGACCCATTTGGCGCTTTTTCTACGAGTGCGCGATGTCATTCGTCTCGTCTTTCTCCTGATAGCCCTGATACCCGGCCGTTTTTTTCACAATAATGGGATCTGTGCCGTCCTAATATGCGGTAGGTACGTCGACCAAGGTTTTGTGGAAATGAAAGGAAAAGAAAGAGATAAAGAAAAATGTATGTTAACGTGTGCGGCAACTAATATCCGCTATCCGCGAAACCGCGTGGCAATCGATCGCGGTAAAGTTGGCTTCGAATTATCCGAGACCCGCGCGATTACAACAAATTGCAGCAGTTTCCCTGGAAGGTGGAAAAAAAGAACAAACGGAGAGGATAGCACAAGTTAAAAAGAAAAGAAACGAGCGCTTAGACGTAACGCAAGCTGTTCCTTTGCGGCGGACATGTCGACATAATGGCGTCACGGATGTCTTTTGACCGCAGATAAATTCCGCTTTCTTGATTTCAGTTCCGCTGCAACGGCGGATTCCGGCGACCTTTCGGTGCTGTTCTCCGTACGGAATTGTTCACGTGATCGTATTTCATTATAATATTTACAACAGTATCATTGATGCGTAACACTTAATGGATATCCACGCGTATCTATCAATCTATCAGTCTGATATTTTCCAATAAGGTTCAGTATTTCTCACATACTGTAATCAAATTGAGAAGAAGAGAATAGATACTTTGCATTTCTATCAGTTTTCACGAAAGTTCACTTTAACTGCAGAGATATGCAGGCAATGGATAATCTTACTCTTGTAGCAGACGAGTGCTTAAGAGACTTATCTATAGGTTAATCAGATGTGACTGATAAGATCGTCATGTTTTCAAATCGATGGCCTTACAGTGCTTCACATTTAATTTTACAGAGTTATTCAAGTATCGCAAAACAGAGCAGTCAATAAATTAATTTGTCCAATGGAAGTTGTTTGTGTCACATTATTGCAATTTTACAGTCAATATTCATAATTGGTTCTTATATTTTAGTTTGTTTTAAGTACAGTTTTAATACATATTTTTTTTTAAATGAACTTCTACTGTTTTTTTCTCTTTTTTTTTCCTTCAAAATGAAGAGAAAAGGAGAGAAAATGAACCAAAAAAGGCAGCTAAAAAAGCAGACTTTTCAGACTTTTAAATTTATTACAAGAGTTATATTAGCATCTTAAGACATTATTTAATGAAAGAACTTTAATAAAATAAGCTTTAATAAGTAAGTAGAAGGTATGAAACAATTTTTATTGTTCTATGAGAGAGATTAAATATGAAATTGAGATAATGTTATGCTCCATAAATGATATGATTATATTAATATTAAAATTTTAAATAACCGACTATGAATAACTGTTCAAAATTGCAATTATAAGACATAGCTTATGATTTCGTAATTTTTAATACTATATACTTGTGCTATACTTGTCTGTTTCAGATGGTTGTCTTATAATATCAATTATAGTATTCAATCAGTGACGCGATTCGTCAGCATCATAGCATTAATGAATAGAAGACTTTGCATAAAGGCCTCTTCTACATTTTAACATCCAACTGCGAATTAGCGGTGGAAATGGCAGATGAGTGCAGCGAGGTCAAGTCGGCAGGACCATCCTCGCCAAGGAGTCCTCAGGGCAGCAGCAACGGTGGGAAGCCCAGTAGCCTGCACTCACCTAGGCAACCAAGACGCGTGAAGCTAACTCAACAACAATTGGACAGCTTGACAAAGGACGAGCTAGCGGCCAAATGGCATGAACAGGACTTGTATGTGGAGTGTCTAGAAGCCCAGTCGGCAGCTCAGGAAGGTACTGAGATCACACGAGTGAGACCACCTCACTCACCACATATCTTAAGCGAATTAACGAATGCCAGGATACAACGATATTTTGTAAGAGACAAGACTCTCGTAGAGACGCTAAGCATAGGGTTCATTAGATCAGTGTTTAGGATATTGTCATTAAGTTGTTTATTAGGTTTAAGGTAACGAGAAAGCTTTAATAAATAAGTACACCAGGTATAAACATAGGAAATTATTTATTGCTCTATGAGAGAGAGCTTAATACACATGCGATCAGATTATTTCAATGTATCTGCACAAAAGTACTAGAAAAATTAAATATGAAATTGAAATAATGTTGCGCTTCATATATGATATGGTGATTATATTTATATTAATTTTCAAAACTACATTTGTGATGTGTATAGTGCGGGTAATTAAAGATTCATATGTATCGTGATGTAAGGCGATAATTCTCAATGTAATTGTGAGCACGGGTGGAGTGACAGCCACATATATGATGTACAAAAAGGGATACATTTAGTCCAAATTTTCTTGTGAGCAATTATATTGTCAGCCATGAAAAAGCCATGATTAGCGAGTAAAAGTGAAAATGGCTGAGCTAACAAGTGCTTATGTGTGTCAAGAAGCGTCAATAAGGTTTTTCTGCAAAAAAAAAACCCATGTCTGCCACCGATGTTATGGAAGACATAGCATTGCTCAAAATGTCATTTCACAAGTGCCCTGTGCAGTGTATCGCGTTTATCTTTGCAGTGTAATAATTATACTGCCAAAAAAAAAATATGCAGGAGAGTGTGTGCCGTGCGTGTAATTTGAAATATCGAGTTCTAGTTAACGAGGATGAAATGAAAAGCAGCGTTTATATGATGGCGCTGATTTTACGACTCAGAGGAATAATAAGAGTGGATCCGTATCACCATTTGGCCTACAAAATACTGCACCTGGGGTGCGTGAAATTTATATCTCGGTGAAGTACGCAATCACATTCGTCGTTATCAATTGGAACATAACTCAATCCCATCTGTCTGTCCCTTCCCTTGATCTACGTATCCTTAAATATTATCTTATCCTTAATTTTTTTCCAGTTAGAGATAATGCAATTAACTGTATTCCTAAATCAATTATCCTACATATTCTTACTATGAATGCAACTTGCATGCATTTATACCTACACCATAATATCCTGGTATCAAATACGAATTTCAAAAGTACATACCTGTGGGTTAAGCCCGGCCAGCGTCTCGTTACGCCAACATCTGTGTCTGCAACAAGTACATGCTTGATTCATACAGAAGAAAAGTAACGTCCACTCTTGGTCTTGGAAGTACAGAGAATCACACAAATGGCACGTCGCAACGACTCCAAAAATCAAAGTATGCGCTAATTAATGTCAGTTGTCAGGCAGTCATAGTCACGTACTTATAAAAGTATATTGTTTATTTATGCGCACTTAGGTAAAAGCCATAAATATTAATTTTTCCAGTATGCTTACTTCCATCAAAAATTATCATATAACATATATATAAATTATACAAGAAATTTTATAAAATTATATAGTCTGATGTTTCAAATATTCAATATCCAATATTATGATTTATAAATTTGTATTCTTAATTAAATTAATCGTATAAATGTTGCAGAGAAAATTATTTATAGTTGCAGAAAAAAAATTTGATATTTTGTGTGTTGTAAATATATCATAACAAATTTATAATAGAATAAAATATATATTCTTACATTTTTTCAAAATAATAAATTTTATTCATTAATAATAATTTTGGAAAAAGTGTTACTAAATCAGAAAAAAATATTTATTTTTCGTTGAAATATATTTATACAAAGAATCGACTGTTCACAAAAATTATTAAAGAATTCTTTTTGAATCTAATTAATTTATTTCAGAAAAATAATTTGAACTCCTTACATATAATATAAGTAAATAATACAAAATATTACTTAAATTTCAGAATATATTGGATATTTACATTTTTAATAATCCAAATATCAAAAATTACATTTATTTAAAGGATTTTTTTTTTTTAATTTTAAAAACATTAAGACAATATAAAATACAATCGCTGGCTAGATATTGAAAAAAAAAACAAAATCAACTTGCAGGCTTAAAATAGAGAACTAATATATGCGCGCGCGCGTGTGTGTGTATGTATTACATCTCCTATATGAAATATACATATTCCATTATTTCACTGTAATTGTTTTAATGATCAAGAATTATGTATTATATATGTTACAAGAAATATTCTTGTAAGATATAAATATAATATACATACATTACAAACATATATGTAATAATACTGCAATTTTAAGAAACACATAGATTCCATTGAATGTTAAAGTTCTAGAAATAGAAAAATTTATAGATTATTCCTTTATAGGTGAGCTAGCTTCATTGAGAGAATCCGAAAACAAATACAGACAACAATATATAGAGGCATCTCACAGGGAGAAGATCTTAGTGAGGAGGCTTGCCTCTAAAGAGCAGGAATTACAAGAATATATTGTATGTAATTATTCTCAGATACATCGAAATTCTAGTACAGTTTATCTTGCAAAATTTATTTCTATATGATCTTATATAAAAAGGATTTATTTTTTTTCATTATTAGAATCAAATAACTGAAATGAAAGCCACCCAAGCTCCGTCCGCAGCTGCATTAAGGTCCGCTCTATTAGATCCGGCTGTTAATATATTAATACAGAAATTAAGGCAAGAGTTAATAACGACCAAGGGCAAATTAGAGGATACGCAGAATGAACTAAGCGCGTGGAAATTCACGCCGGATAGGTCAGAAAAACTTTATACATTAAATAAAAGACGCACCAATACGACACCAATATTTTTATTAAATTAAATATTTTATTTACAGTAATACGGGGAAAAGATTAATGGCAAAATGTAGGTTGTTATATCAAGAAAATGAAGAACTTGGTCGTATGATTGCCAGTGGACGTATTGCCAAATTGGAAGGCGAACTTGCTCTGCAAAAGAGTTTTAGTGAGGAAGTGAAAAAGTCACAATCAGGTATCATATTAGTTATTCATTAATTTATATTGTTATTAACTTTTACCAAGATAATTATCATAATTATTGCAATTAAAATCGGATTCTGTGATCAAAATATTTTAAATATAATTAATTCATTTTTATTTAATTTGTTACAGAATTAGATGAGTTTCTGCAGGATTTAGATGAAGATGTGGAGGGTATGCAGAGCACTATTTACTTTTTGCAACAAGAACTGCGCAAAGCACGAGAGTCTGTCACGCTATTGCAACAGGAGAATGCAGCATTAAAGGCAAGTACAAACGAGAATAATCTATCGAATGGTTTATCGCCCCATACGCCGCCAATTAAGAAAGAGGAACAAGAAGAAACTACAGTACCAGATACGAAATCTTCAAAATCGATGGAGGACAGTGATATGTGCAAAGGTGTGAGGACTCCACCGTTAGCGTCGCCCCAGAGTGAGCTTACCAGTGTTGAAAGGACAGAACGTGCGGAGAGAAAACTTAATCAAGCCGATCACAATGACGAGAGTTCCAGCGATTCCGCGGCGTTAATTATTAAGGTTGAGAACGAGGAACTTAGTGATAGAGAAGAAGAGCAGGAGGAAAATCGGAATAAACGAATATTAAGAAATAAAAATCACAGTAGGAATAGTGGTAAATCAAATGGGGAAGAGGTGACAACACGAACAACACGGGGTAGGGACAGGATAAAGAGGGAGAAAAGTGCAGCCAGTAGTGATGATGAAAGGACGCACAAGAAGAAACGAAGGGAAAGCATTCTTTCTCTCGATTATAACGAAGCCGATGATGATGCGTTAGTTTTAACTAATGGCGAAACTCTGCAGAGTGATCCCGAATGAATATTGTTTTAGGTTGATTTTGGACAACATTAACTACACGTGTGGTTGAAATTCGCGATATATAATTTGACATCCATTATGTACAAAATTTTTCATCTAAAGCAACGCCGGTTGCCTATTTACAAGATATTGTTCGAATAAAAAAAATAATTAGCCATAAAGAAACGTAATTTCAGTACCTGTATTCGTGATAAACCTCAAAGGATAAATATTCACATTGGTCTCTAAAATGACAAACCTGTAAATACTCTTATTATTATTATATCGATCCATTAGATCAATATAAAGTTTGTTTACTTGAAGTTACTTGCAAACGACCAAGTTGCGCATTACATTACAAAGATATATCAGACGAAAAATCTGAATAGATTAATATAATTTATTACAGCCGAACGCTGTAAGGAAAACAATCGAATTTTGTTTGTATTTTATAAATTTATTGTATTAAAACTATGTAAAAATCAGCAAAAGCTTTGGTTTATCAGTAAAAGACGAATAATTCGAAAGATTGTCAAGAATTAATCAAAAACGCCTAACCATATTACGTAAATAAATCGAGTGAATTTTAATATTTTCGGGTATAGAAAGCGAACTGTGAGATTTTCGTATGATTATATACATACGTACATAACAACGGTCTGATGTACATATGTATTTTTTGTGCAATATGAGGCATCGACCGCGATTTAATTTTGCTTTTACCGAATAATTGAAAAATAAAGCATATGACAAAATATACAATATTAGTCTTAATAATGCATATGGATCTCACAGACTGATACATTAAACTCACATTTTTAATTTTCCTAAACTGAAATTTGTATAGTGTTTGATATATTTTATATTATCTATATGCAAATTTATTTTATATTATCTCCGTAAAAAAAATGCGCCTTCAATTTTATTTGTAGTTTATATTATAAGGAAAAAAACGATGGATATCAAAAATACAAATCATTAAAAAGAAAAATGTTGGTAAAACGTATGATATTCCATCCCAAATTTTCTGTATATAGTGCCATTATTATTCTTGTATAGAAGATATTAATAATTTCTGAGATACGAGCGATAAAGAATAAAGTGCTTTTTCTTACGCACATTTTGCAATTAAAGCATGGTGTCTTCTTTTCTTCGAATAATTAAGAACGATTAGAAATAACTTTATATTTCGATAAGAATCCAATTTTGCTTACGCGATGTAGAACGTCCGCGTGCTAGTTTACATTAATCTTATTACTAAAAGTATGCTAACATGAATTGTGAATCTTCAAACTGCAAAACATGATTATTAAAGGATTCCTTATTCAGACTGAACATATGTTAATTTTTTTCCATTCCATACTTTTGCATTTAATTATGTAATTGCGTAGTAAATATATACATTAAAAAAATTTAAAGACAAGTCCCAAACGAGAGAATTAAGAAATAAATAGATAAATCCTAATGTCAAATTTAACACGTATTTAGAATATTATTTATTGCACATAAAAAATTCAATTTTAAAGAGAATATTTTAAAATTTAACTATCGATTTGCAATTCAAACATCGATATGCACTTTTGAGTCTGTTCTTTGTTGCTATCCTATCTCAAACAAATTTTTGCCAAACTTCAAATATATATCGATTTTATTTTAACATATATGTATAGTTCAGCTATAAAAGTTCTTACAGACATATTTTTAATCCGTTTGAAAATGGCACTTTACCGCAAAAATCATCAATATATGATCCTACATGAATTTTCACTTTCGCCGGCAGCATTCGGCGAATAGTTGAGTAAATTCGTTTGTGGTGTATTAGTATTTTCCAATGTAGTACAGTGAGGAGTAGTGGTGGTGCAGAACAGTGTAGAACTGTGGAGAAACAGAACTCGACAGAATCATACAGACAACCGCAAGATCCGTAAATAGAATCCTTGCAAATCCTGGGAAAGATCGAATCATATCCTCCAAATCCTGAAAAACAATTTACGTATCGCTCCAATTATGTTCGCAGCAAGACGTATTCTGGTCTCCAAACCAACGTAAGCATGACGAAAACCGTGACGATCTCCCGAATTCGCTGTTTTCACATTATGTAATTTCTAACCTGACACGCAACCCTCTCGATATGTTTGCAACAATTTTTCATGAGTATCTATATAATGAGCAATTGTATTATTGAACTCTTACTCGAATCGTTTGACAAACCAATAAATTTTTAATAATTTATGTAAAATCATATGTGTGTAAGTATACTTTCTGTATTTTTTGTATCAACATAGGACTGGCAGCAACGTTCACAGCTGATCGACGAATTTTCTCTTTCCAAAAAAAAATAACACGAGAGAAACATAGTATTTAAAATAAGATAACAGCTTATTTTTTAATAATGCAAATGATAATTTTATTGAAAGTGTTTTTCAAAGTTATTTCAGAATATCCGCTAATTTTTTTTTTAATAAAAAAAGACCTTCGTATAGAGTTATCTAGCACACTTTTCATGTAGATTTTTTTATATTATATTCTTCATAATTGATCATCTAGAAACAAAAATCGTTTAATTCTGTAAACTTTATAGCAGTAATAACCGTTTTAATTAAAATCATACTATTCTTGATATATAAATAAAAATATAAAGATCATGAAAAAATTATATACACATATTTTAAATAGAAAAAACAAAGGTTTTCAATTTGTAACGCAAACGTTTATTTTATTTATTACTATTTATTATTTTATATTTATATGTGTACATATTATTTTTTATTTATATATATATTTATATATACAATATATATTTATATATATATATTGTATATACAGTACATATATATAGTATTATTTTGTATAATAATAATGTAATCTCTTCTATAACTAATGCAGCAAGAATGTATTTGCAAGATCAAAGCATTCACTTCCGAATTTGCCATACGATTATAAGGCTCTGGAACCCATCATATCCACTGAGATCATGGAGCTCCATCATTCCAAACATCATGCAACCTATATTAACAATCTAAATGTCGCCGAAGAAAAAATGGAGGAGGCGATTGCAAAAGGCGACATCAATACACAAATTGCCCTGGGCCCGGTTATCAAATTCAATGGTGGTGGTCATATCAATCATTCAATTTTTTGGTGCAATCTTTCACCCAATGGTGGAAATCCAGATGGTAATATAATTCTTCAATTAATGTAAAAGAAGTACTTGAATAATATTCAAATCAATTCATTTAGTAATTAAAAAATAATTCTTATAAAATTTTATTTGTACAAAGTTTTTGTCAAGTCAGAGTAAAATTACACAATTAAAAATTGAGATTTTGTTAGTGATTAGATCGCTTTGTAATATATAATGATTTTATAAATTTTCAACTCACATAAGATCTAAAATTAAAATAAGGAGCAAGTCTCTTTAATAAATGGGAAAAGACTTTGGAGAAAGAAATTGAAGAATTTTTATTTTTTAGATATAAAAAGAAAAGAAAAAAATAAATAGCTGATCAATAGATATGAATAGTTTCCAATAATTATAAATCTTTTCTTGGAAAAAAGAACTTATGTATATATGAGAGATGATTAGGTATAAAACTTTTCAATTTTATGCAATATTATAATCAGAAGATATATACATATATAATTGTAGTTCATGCAGATAAATGATATAATGCATATTTTTGCTCAGCTGCCCTTTCGAAGCAAATCAATAAAGATTTTGGCTGTATGGAGGAAATGAAGAAGTCCTTATCTCAGATTACCATAGCAATTCAAGGCTCTGGTTGGGGTTGGCTCGGATACGATAAGAAGACTAAGTCGCTGAGGATAGCGACTTGTGCGAATCAAGATCCATTACAAGCTACTACTGGTCTCATTCCTCTCTTCGGTATCGACGTGTGGGAACACGCTTATTATTTACAATATAAGAACGTACGACCTGTTTATGTGGAAGCAATCTTCGACATTATTAACTGGAAGGATGTAAATGCGCGCTTCAAAAATATCACTGGTTGTTAAAGCTCAACAAAATCATTTAGCATTTAAATCCGTTTTTTAGATATTAACGTAATGTAACGTAATGTTTCTATTAGGATTGAACGATATCAAGAATATAATCAGTAATTCTCCTGATTTTTATATTTTTTTTTCTACACTGTATCCGAAATGACGTAATCGAGTAACAAGTAAAACAAGTGTGAAAAATATGTGAATGTAAAAATATATTTACTTAGAGTAAGACATTTCCTTATCCTTAATATAAAATATAACTATTCTGTATCTCGAAAATGATAAATTAAGGAAATGCGTGATTTGAAAATAGTCATATTCTCACATTTTCTATACTTTTTCTTTGCTTTTCAGTTGCTATGAAAAGAAAATTAAACTATAAAGATTTCTAATCCTACCTTTTGATAAATTATATAATTATTTCTATAATAATCATCAATGGAGGATTTAGTATATAATACTGAAGAAACAAACTTATGATAAAAATACATAATTAGTTCATTTTACCTGCTAATTTTCTTAAAATATATACTTTCAAAATAAAGTTATTAACGTATTTATTCTTTTAAATTGTAAAATTGTATGCAGAAATTGTATTCTATGAACATTGCTGACAGAGAAATTTAATATATTTAAAAATTATAGAGAATTTATCTCACTTTTACTTGATAAAATAAAACGAAAGGTATATATGAAAATAAATAGAAAGTGTTAAAATTTTTTCTTTCCAAATGCTTTTATATAAAAATCAATTTTTCATCAACCTTAACCTATGAAAAATATTTATATATGTGATACTATGAAAAATATTTTATATATGTGAATTATTAATTAATAATTTATTACACACACACACACACACACACACACATATATATATATATATATA